CATTGCTGGTCCTAGCCACAAAGGTCTGTTCCCTTATTTGGCCACTTCCTCCTCCTGAGGTTGACCACCAAGGTCCAGCTCTCAAAGTATTGAAGTCCAGCAATCGAAAGCCCCCTTTGGCTCACCTAATTAACATGCCCAATTAAAATTAAACACCTTATCCTAACACAGGCTTCCCTTTGTATCTTTTTTTGTTTGTTTAGGTTTTCAAGACAGGGTTTCTCTGTATTATTTTGGAGGCTGTCCTGGAACTCCATCTGTAGAGATCCACCTGCCTCTGCCTCCCGAGTGCTGGGATTAAAGGTGTGTGCTACCAATGCCTGGCTTTCCCCCTTGTGTCTTTATAAACTGCTATTTTCCTATGGGCCACATGCCTCCTCTCTATCTAGAGGCAGGCTGTCCTTTATCCCTCTGGGACAAATATCCCAGGCCCCTCTCCCTTGTTAGCTTCCCCTTCTCCCTCTATCTCCTGTTTTTGTTTCTTATCCCCCCCCCACTCCCTCTGGGACCAATAAATCCCCTTTCTGCTGAGAATGTGGTCCTGGGGGTCCAGAGCCCATACTTTTCCTTTCACTCACTAAGGAAGCTTCATCCTTTGTAGTTATTATCTGTCTGGGGGTTGTTGGTTGTTTTGTTTTTTGAGTTTTTTTTTTGTCTTTTGAGGTTTTGGGGGGTTCTTGTTTTATTATTTATCTATTATTTTTCAAGACAGGTTTTTTTTTTTGGTTTGGTTTGGTTTTGGTTTTTAGTTTTTGGAGACAGGGTTTCTTTGCTTAATAATCCTGGCTGCCCAGGAACTCACTCTGTAGACCAGTCTGGCCTTGAACTCAGATCTACCTGCCTCTGGAGTGTTAATCCCAAGTGGGATTTAGGGTGTGCACCGTCATTGCCTGACCTAGTTTTTTCTTTGTTTTGTTTTGGTCTGGGTTTTTTTTTTTTTGAAACTTGATCAAGCATCTCTCCAGTATGAACTTCATAGATGGCAATATCATATTACAATGTCAAAGCTTGGACATGACTGACAGCTTCTTCAGCATGCCCATCCCGAGGTTCCTCATCAGCTCCTGATGGCTCCAGTTTGAAATCCCAAGCTGCCTGCATCGAGCCTCAAAGCCACTGTCCTGGTCCCTGGAACCCCATCCACAAGCTCAGAGCGAGGGACCAGGTCCTGACCTTGCATGGCTCCTAGCAGCCAGCACTTCCTGCCTAGTGCCCTGGAGTCACATAAAGGAATAAACAGTGAATAAGCCAACGGGGGTCAGAGTGGTGGTGCACACTTGTAATTCCAGCACTTGGGAGGTGGAGGAAGGAGAATCAGAAATTGAAGGCCAACCTGGGCTCCCTTGTGAGTTTGATGCCAGCCTGGGCTACATGAGATCCTGATTCAAATAAATAAATGAAGGCGGAGGAACATGCACAGAGTTCATGTATGTATGTGTCTCTGTGAGTGAATGTAAACTACATATATGGGAGTACTTGCAGAGGAGAGGAGGGGTCAGATTCCTGATTGGAGTGCTAGGAACTGAACTCAGGTCCTCCAGAAGAGCTGTGCCTGTTGCCTGTTCTTAACTGCTCAGCCATCTCTCCATGCCCTGTTCCTAGATGGCTGGGGTATAAGCACTGGGGCCAGGACCCACCTCACTGTCTAGCTTTAGAGTCTCCGGAGCTGGCTTCATACGGCTCCAAGTCCAGAATCTGTTGCAGATACTGAGAGCCGGAGACTGGCCTCTGGGACCCAGCAGGGGCTAAGCTCCAGCAACTCTCCAGATTTCCAATGCCCATTTCCAACTTGCCAGGAATTTCAAATTCCAAGCCAAGCAAACTTCCTTAAGACAGTCAGCTTTGCACCCACGTAATTGCTAGAACCCTGTTTTGAGGCCCAGTGCCTGGAAGTTCTGTAGGCACTCGATTTACAATGCCTAAATGCCCAGAAGGCACTCTTGGAGGTGATGTGACTTGCCTAAGATCCAGTTGCTACAAGTGACCCTGAATCCAGTCAATTCAAGAAGCTGATTAGACACAGGCCATCATACTAGAGACTACCCACTCTTTCATCTTAGAGCTTGGAGAAAACAGGAGTTTGGTGAGGGCAAATCCTTTACTACTAGTTCAGGGGTCTATTTAACTTCGGGGCTGAGATTTGAAGCTAGGTTTGGGGGTCACTCGGGACATGTAGGAGACTAAAACTTGAGGTCTCTGGTTTGCTCTCATCACCCTCCTGCCCTCTGCACCCCCATCCTCTCTATTATACTTGACATTATCCGTCACTCCCTCTCCCTGGGAACGCCCTCCTCCTCCTGTTTCCATGACAGCACATTCTTCCCTTCTTTCTCCTGCTGCTCCAGTGGTTTCTCACTCTCCATGGGGGCTCCAGAGCCTAGGAGGAAAGGGGTCCCCAGTCCAGATTCCCAGTCTCCTCTCTACTCTAGAAGTTGATGCGCATTTCCTGCTGGGTCCCAGGCTCTGACTTGTACCCGGCTCTGCTTTCCAGTCACAGCTCCTTGCTGAGTGCAAGGTCCTATGGCTACACATATACATTACCTAACTAATCCTCACAGCACTCTCCAAAGGAAGTCCACTCCACAGGTAGGGAAACTGAGGCTGTGACAGGGAAAACCAACATCAGATTCTAGCCTTCATCGTGAGTTCTAGGACATCAAGAAGAGCCTGGAAACTGTAGGGCATTTTTAAACCAAAGGCAAAATCTTTCCTCCCACCTCCTAGAGAGAAAGGAATGGAAATTTTGGGGAGGAAGAGACCTGTGATAGTCTAGAATTACACTGTCAATTTGGAGCTTAAAAAATGCGCCGCGCATGGTACATTTTGAAAGGGAAAGACTCAGAGAACTTAAGGAGGAACAAAAGTTCACGGAAAATTGCCCTTTTCCCCCATTTTGTGAAATCTTCAGAAGCCTCATCCCAGGGTTCCTGCAGCTGCTGGGATGTCTCTCCCCTTCACTGATGCCCACGATTCACAGCAAGCTTGGACCTGAAGATTTTCTCTACAATTCCTCTGACCTGAGTTCTGCTACTTCTGGCAAGGTCTGTGACTCGGGAAATCAGCTTAGCCTCCCCGAGCCCAGTGTTCACATCTAAAATGGGGATACTAGCCAGGTGTGTCTCACACCTTTAATCCCAGCACTCAGAAGGCAGACACAGGTGGACCTCTGTGAGTTTGAGGTCAGCCAGATCTATATAGCAAGTTCCAGGACAGCCAGGACTACAGAGTAAGATTTTGCCTCAAAAACAAACAGCCGGGCATTGGTGGCGCATGCTTTTAGTCCCAGCACTTGGGAGGCAGAGGCAGGCATATCTCTGTGAGTTCGAGGCCAGCATGGTCTATGGAGCGCGTGCCAGGATAGGCTCCAAAGCGACAGAGAAACCCTGTCTCGAAAAACCAAAACCAAACAAACAAACAAACAAAAAGGGATAGTGCTGCTCCTGCCCCCTCGGCTGTCAAAAGGATGAGTTTCAATAATGTGCCTAAAGCACCACAGTAGTCAGTTCAGTTCTGCGCCTGCGCTGCCCATAACTCTGTTTTGCGCCTGCGCTGCCCATAACTCTCAGTTCTGCGCCTGCGCCGCCCATAACTCTGTTTTGCCATGCACTTGAACACACCCATGCTTTCCCACACACTATTCTGCCTTCTCAGTAGCCAACTCCTCTGCATCCTTTAAAAGCCCCTGGCCCTTTGCCACCTTATAGAATTGCTGCAAACATGTTTTTAGTTAAAAGGCACTTCCCTGGGACACCCTCCCTGGGGCTGTCACTACTTGTCACACTGGCATACAATCACATACTATGATTTGCCGGAGCTTTCTGAGAGAAGAGGCATGTGTGACTGATTTCTGAGTCTCAGTGTCCAGAGTACAGTCTCATAGGACGACTTCAATGTGCTTACGTTACCTTGACTGAGACAAGGACAACTGTCTATTAGTATCAGAAAGGGGAAAAAATCAGCCAGGTGTTGTTGGATGTGGTAACATATGCCTCTAATCTAAGCACTTGGAGGGGCCATGGCATGTCAATGTGTACACACACACACATGCACACACACACACACACACAAACAAATAATAAAAAGAAAAATTTATATTGGGTTCAGCGGATAAAGGTGCTTGCCTGATGACTTGAGTTCAAATCCCTAGAAACTCATATGGTAGGCAAGAACCTCTCCAAAATTGTCCTCTGACCTCTACATGTGCACTGTGACAAGAGCAATACCACCCTCCACACACAGACACAATCAATCAATCAGTGTTTAAACAATTTCAAAACCACACCTGCAATACCAACACTGAGGAGGATCCGGCTGGAAGATCAGGAGTTCGAGGCCAGCCTGGGCTACATGAGTCTCTATCTCAATAAATAAAAGTGAGTTCTCGCCCCCACAGGAGAGAGTAATGAGGGGACTGAAGCAGCTAGCTCTATGACAGGCCTGCCCTGGGTGGGACACAAGGTCATAGCCCTTGCAAGGAAGATACACAGCCCTGGCTCCTGTGTCACCTGCTTCTGGAGTCTGCCCTGAATATTTGTCCCTTCTTCTGCTACCTCCCATATTGCAGGAGGACTCTCCAGCAGCAAGTGTCTGGGGGTGTCTTCTGCATGATGACCTCCTCACCACGCTCAAACAGAAATCTCTGGTCATAGTGTCCATTTGGGTGGTGAAAGTCAGCTACGTGGCTAGGTTGCAGGTTACAGTGGCTGAGCAGGTCTGATGACAGCAGTGACCATCACACCACATCCCAGGTACAGAGATTCCAAGGTTCTTGGCTTTTAGGGACCTCACACTGAGAAAAAGACTGTTCTTTTCCCATCAAGGGACACTTCCTGCTAGTCTAGCTCCTGCCTCCCTGAAGGCTGGTTCAGTCCCTAGTGGAGTGACAGTCTCCAGCTTTTGTTCCAAAGAAAATGGCTGTCAAAAAGAAAAGAGGTATATTGTCTCTCTCTCTCTCTCTCCTTTTTTTGTTTGAGACAAAGGCGTCAATTTCTTTCCATCTGTCCCAAAAAAGGAAGAGAATTAAATTTGTTTTTACAAGAATGTCAGCAGGCTGCTTCAATACAGAGTCAGGGGCAGGTTGCTCAGGCAGTGGGGGAGGCACAGGGGACAAGGCAAACAATGAATCCAGGGGAACTGGGAGCCAGGAGTGCATGGATAAGTTCCTGTGTCCACCCTCAGGAGCTGGTAGGGGGCAGCTAGAGCAGATGAGGGACCCAGGAGGCAAACGGAGAGCCAGCGAAGGACCATGCCGACATCATTGCTATAAAAACCTTCTTACCTCAATGCCTTCAAAGTTGGGTCCTACTTGGGCAGCTCCAGTCCCTGAGAGTCACTGACACCAGACATCTATCTGATGGGCAGCCAGATGCTGGAGGAAGGGGAGGGGACTCCTTCCAGCTTCTCTATCTTTTTTTTGTTTTGTTTTGTTTTCCAGACAGAGTTTCTCTGTGTAGCTTTGGAGCCCGAACTGGCTGGCCTCAAATTCTTCCAGGTTCTTATTGAGGATCCAAGTATTTGGTAGTTCTGGCAACTCCTGGCTGACGTTGAGGTGCCACAAATGGGGTACTCAAAACAAGGTGGGTATCTGTGCTCCAGTACTGATCCATAGACACTAGGTCCCTGGGAATCCCCAAAGCATCCACTGTCAGTCTTCATGATTTAACCCATAAGCAGAAGCCTCGGCACCCTGCCCAACTATCTACTCTCCACCTAACACATATCTCTGTTTTATTTTGTTTTTTGAGACAGGGTCTCACTATATATCCCTGGGTGTCCTGGAATTCACTCTGTAGACCAAGCTAAATGTGAACTCACAGAGATCCACCTTCCTCTGCCTCCTAGGTGCTGGAATTAAAGGCCTAAGCCACCAAGTCCAGCTCCACTTTTTTTTAAGGCCTATTTTATGTATATGAGTGTTTAGCCTGCATGTGTGTATGTGAGCCATGTTCATGCCTGGTGTCCACAGAGGTCAGAAAAGGGCATCGGACTGACTGGGACAGGAGTTACAGATGGTTGTGAGCCACCATGTGGGTACTGAGAACTGAATCTGTATCCTTTGCAAAACCAGGAAGTGCACTTAACCCCTGAGCCAACACTCTAGGTTCTACTTCCACTTCCTGTCTGTGCTATTGGGGTCCTAGAACCGTCTCAGTCCTTCCTGAGCCTCAAGGATGCCATCAGAACTTGATTCTGGGGCCTTGCTCCAGAACCCAGGAGCCACTGCTTCTGTCCCACTGACCTGCCCCCGGGGGTTTTGCTGTTGTTTGGAGGGTTTTTTGTTTTGTCTCATTGATCCCAGAGCCCCCCACAAACACCCTGCCACTGAGCTACACCCTCAGCCCTCTTTACTTTTTAGTTTTAGACACTAAGTTGCCCAGGCTGGCCTTTAATTTCCCAGCCTCAGCCTCCAGCATGACTGGAATTACACCAACCTGCCACATTAGGCCCAGCTTGTATTCTCTGTATAGAAAAGTTAAATCAGACCTAGCCTCAGGCGAGTTTAGCGGTTAGAACCTGGTGAGACCCTGGACTCTTCTCCAAACTGAAGCTCCCAGCTCTGCCCCCCTTACCTACACGGGGGTGGGGGGAGTGGGGAGCAGTCGGTGTCTATCTCTTGCCCAAACCCTTAAGTGCCCTTCCTGACTGCCTGACTGGTCCTCTCACCTCCCCTAAGAGGCTCCTCCCTATACCACAAAGGTGCTCAGACTCTCCCTGCTATCAAGTCATCGATCTCATCACTGTCCTTGCTGGTTTCTAGAGCTGGAATCCTCAGATTGGAACTGGGTATTCAAAAGGCCAGAGTTCGAGGCTATCCCAAGGCTTGAAGCTCTGCCCCATTGGAGGTGTCACTCACTCTGACACCCCCACCCCTCCAACCCAAAACCTTGGATCCCTCAGGCCCCGCCCCTACCGGAGGCCACCCCTCTGCGCAGGCCCCATTCCAGCTGCCCAGATGGTGGCCCGGGCCTCCCAGGAGGTTCGGTGTGGCCCGCCAGGTCACTTTCTCTTGGGTGGGGTGCTTAGCGGGGAGTGCCGGTAGGTCAGGCAGCAGCACCACCGCCAGGGCCGTCGGAGGGGGTGCAGGCAGTGACGCGCTCACGCGCGGTGGCCTGGCGGGTCTGGCGGAGGCTGCCGGGTTCCTGGCGGCCACCGCAGGGCCCGCGACAAAGCTGGCGGAAGCAGCGCTTGAAGTTCTCGTCCAGGAAGGCATAGAGCACAGGGTTGAGGCTGCTGTTGGCGTAGCCCAGCGCAATGCACAGGTGCAGCGCGGCCACCACAAGTGGGTCGTGCCGATTGATGTCCACCAGCGTCCAGACGATGACGAAGATGTGGATGGGAGCCCAGCACACTACGAAGGCGCCCACTACCACCAGCACCATGCGCGTGATGCGCCGCAGGCTTCGGTCCTTCTCCTTGGAGCCCGACAGCAGACGCACGCTGCGCAGGCGCAGCAGCATGAGGCCGTAGCACACGGTGATGATGAGGATCGGCACCACGAAGGCGAAGAGGAACACACAGATCTTGGTCACCGTGTCCCAGTACCAGCTTGGGCTGGGGAACTGGAGCATGCATACCACTGCTCCATCTAAGGTCGGGAAACAAGCAAAGACAGGAGTCAGAGATCTGTGTGCCTAAGGGACTCTGCTTGTCCCCTTTCAAGATGATTGACACCTAGACTGTCTCCTTACTTGGCGAACTCCTTCTTGTGCTTAAAGATTCCAGAATCGGCCCTCATCTGGGGGTCCTCTTCTGTGTCTTCTCTCATAATAATTTATGCTGGCCCAGTAATATCAGTCATTGTGTTAACTCAGCAGACCACCTACCTATTTCCAAAATTGCTCCAGTGGGTCAATCAGTACTGAAGATTGATTTAGAGGGTGAGTCATACAGCTGGGGATGTAATTCAGTTGCTATAGTGCTTGTTTAGCATGCACTAAACTCTGGGTTCAATTCCCAGCACTGTATAAACTTGACTCAGTGGCACATACATGTTACCCAAGCATTCAGGAGACAGAGGCAAGGAGGAGCAGAAGTTCAAGGTCATTCTTGACTACATCCTTAACATCCTTGGATTAGGAGCCTGACTCCAGCCCAGATGTGTATGGCCTTGGGCAAATTATTCACAGTCTTCAGGTTTCCTTATGGTGGGGCTAACGGTCAAATGTACATTCCTTAGTTAGAGTTACACGTATCTGTTCTCTGTGTGTATGTGTCGGTTAAAGGACAACGTGCAGATCTCAGCTAATGTCAACAGCAACCTTTCCCCAGCAGCACACACCTGTAATCCCACCACCACACAGCAGCCTGAGGCAGGAGCATCCCGAGTGCAGAGCTAGACCAAGTTACATATTGAGACTATATCCAAAAGTAAAATGCAACAACAAAGCCCTCCCAACAGCCATACCCATAGAAAGAGGAAGGGAACCTTCCTGTTCCTGGAGAATGGGCTTGGGCCACTGAGCATCTCAGAGGATGCTGTAGGGTCCTGATGCAGACCTGAGGGATGCCCAAGATCTCTTGGAGCCACATGGTAGACTTGCAGCCTGAGAGTTATGAGAAAGGGGCTGGAAAGCCACAAAATGTCTGTGGTACTTAAGGCTGGCAGGACCCCTGGGGATGACTGAAGATCAGTGTATACAGGGGGTGGTGCTGGAGAGGGAGGAGTGAGGACCCCTTGGGGATGACTGAAGATCAGTGTGTACAGGGGGTGGTGCTGGAGAGGGAGGAGTGAGGACCCCTTGGGGATGACTGAAGATCAGTGTGTACAGGGGGTGGTGCTGGAGAGGGAGGAGTGAGGACCCCTTGGGGATGACTGAAGATCAGTGTGTACAGGGGGTGGTGCTGGAGAGGGAGGAGTGAGGTCCATTTGGCTCAGCTCCCAGCAAGGTTGCAGTTAATGAAGCATAAACTGAAGGCTGACATTGAGCAATGGGACCCTGCTGCTCAGTCAAAACCAATTGCTCAAAGGTTATATAATGGTGCTGTGGGCTCTGCCCTTGTGAGGGTCAAGGTATCTAAGAAGTGTCCTGCCAACCCTCGTCCCCTTTCCTACCCTGAGAACCAAGCCTCCACAGGCTTCTACCTGGGGACCAAATGGAAGGAGATACTTGAAGGTGGAGCTTTGGGTCAAAGGTTAAGTTCATCATGTGGCTGCCTGGGAGGCTTAAACTAAACCACCTGATTGATTCTGTCTTTTTTTTTTTTTTCTTTCAGACAAGGTCTGGATATATAAAGTGGCCTTGGATCCAGGGTCCTTCTGTCTCAGTCTCCTGTATGCTGGCACATGGACATATGGACATGTATCACCTCATTGTGCATCAATGAGAGTGAGAGGGAGGGAGAGAAAGAGGAAGAGGCATCCTGCCTTCTCTATGAGGAAATAGGGCTTAGAAGTTGGTTACTAATTTTTAGGCACCTTTCCTTACATCATGGTGGGGCCATGTGAGCAGCCAGCGCTAGGAAGGGTTGGACAATAACACTGAAAAGCGGTTATGATTCCTCCTGACTCCCTTCTGTATTTATGTGCTGGCCAGACACCAATAGTGGAAGACTGGGCACCTTCTCTGGGAGCCTGGGTCACCCCCAAACCATCCTCCTACCCAGTGGATTGTAGGATAAGAAAACTGCTATGTTAAGTTCCTGAACTTTGGGGATGTTTGTTAACAGCAGCTACAGAGACTAGTAAAGATAGCCCAGGTGAGGCACCTGTCTGCCTGGACTTTGGGGATGTTTGTTACAGCAACTATAGAGACTAATAAAGTTATCCCAGGAGATGTGCCCACCTGCCACTCCCTGCAGGCCATTCTCTAGGTTTCACTTTTACCATTTGGCCAATGGTATTTTCTTCTCCTTACTTTTCTTTGTTTTTGAGACAGGGTTTGATGTAGCCCAGGGTGGCCTAAAACTCACTATAGAGCTAAAGCTAGCCCTGAACTCTTGATCCTCTTGCAAGCCCTATAGGTACGCAACACCTGATGTATGAGTGCTGGGGATTGATCCCAGGGCTCGTAGAGTGATGCTGGGCAAGCACTGTACCAACTGAATCACATTGTCCCATGAAGTCCCTCTCTCCAGGTTCTTACTACATAACCCAGACTGGTCTCTCAAGACCTTCCTGCCTCAAGCCCTTGAGTATCAAGGTTAGAGCCCTGTATGTATTATATACCCACCTTCCAGTGGTTTTCTTTTTCTTTTTCTCTTTTTATGATTTTAATTATGTGTATGGAGGGAGAGGATATGCACATGAATGCAAGTGCCCACAGGAGTCAGAGGTGTGAGAGCCCCTTTCAGGCAGTTTAAGCCACCTGGTGTGGGTGCTGGGAACTGAATTCAGGTCCTCAAGAACAGTAGTGTGTGCTCCTAACCACTGAGCCATCTCTTCAACCCCTCCAGTGGTTTTCAAAGTGGGATAAAAGGGATTTTAGCATGAGTCTACAGATCCTATAGCCTCTGCTGCTCACTGGTCAGTGACAACCACACCTTGGTCATTTATCCATGTCTCTTTAATCTACAGCCCTGGCCAGTCAGCCCACAAATTCCTTGTGGCCAGCAACCTACCAACCAGTCAATCAAACTCTCAGCAGTCTATCACCCACACTCCCCATTAGCTGACTCTCCATCCCACCAGCCAATCCGCTTCTTTCATTGTTCTGTAACCCACAACCACTGGTAGCCACTCCCACTTGGAAACCCACAGAGGCCAATAGGTGGTCAGGCTGAGACCCATGCGTCAGCTTCCTCTCTCACTCACCCCGGGGTTGAGTCACTGCCATGACCATGATGGGGACCCCAACACCAGAAGCCAGGACCCAGATGCATATGTTGATCAGCTTGGCCTTGGCAGGCGTCCGGAAGTCCAAGGCCTTGACGGGGTGGCAGACAGCAATGTAGCGGTCCACGCTCATCATAGTGAGTGTGAAGATGCTGGTGAACATGTTGTAGTAGTCAATGGACAGCACGGCCTTGCACAGGAGCTCTCCGAACGGCCACGTTTCCATCAGGTACTTGGCACTCTGGAAGGGCAGCGTGCTGGTGGCCAGAGCATCGGCCAAGGCCAGGTTGAAGATGTAGATGTTGGTGGCGGTCTTCAACTTAGTATACCTTAGAAGGAAGAGCACGAGTAACTATCCACTTCATGGATTTCAGTTTCCATTAAACTGGAGGAGTAAAGAGAATTGGTCAAAAGATCCACAAAGGGCAGAGCCAGTGTGGTGGCAATGCCTGTAATCCCAGCACTCATAAGGGTAACCCACGACGACTGGGAATCCAGGACCAGCCTGGGCTACATGAGGTCCTTTCTCAAAAAAAAAAAAAAAAAGTAAAAATGTTGTGAGCCAAGGTGGGATTGGAGCCTGAACCACCCAGCTGACCGTCACTCCTTCTCCTGGAAGCAGATGTCTATGATCCCAGCACCAGGGAGGCTGAAGCAGGGAGATTATGAGTTCAAGGTCAGCCTGAGCTACATAAGACAATGAATGTGCCATGAGGACCTGAGTTTGATTCCCAGCACCCACATCAGGTGGCTTACAAATACCTATAACCCCAGCTGCAGGGGAATCTCACAATGAATGACACTTTGTCTCCAAAACAGAAAAAGGAAGGAAGGGGTCAGGGAATGTAATGTGTTTATGGTTGTGAAAACTTAGTGAGATGATTGAGAATGTAGCCCTGAGCCCAGGGACCATACACTCAGAACAAAGGCAAGGTGTAGCTCAGCTGCCAGAGGGCTTGCCCAGCAGAGATCAGAGAACAACATAGAGGGTCCATTCTTACCACCCCCAGGATGCTATTCTTTATCTACACAGAATGAAGTTGGGGAGTTAGCCATTTACCTGGTCTTTGGGGAACACGATTTTTCAGTTCTGAGTGAGGGACTCTGCTGGGACCTTACACCCTTTGAAATGTCCTCTGTGGTAGCCCAGGGCTCTTGGTCCTTTCTTGGTTTCATCCAGGCCTCCAAACCCCCACAACTAGACCCATCCTGCTGTGAATACCATGGTTCATTCCCTTTCCTGTCCCTATGCTGTGAGGAAGGTGACCCAAACTCATTGTCACACATCTAACCCAGGGTATGAACCCAGGTCTCAGACCAGATGTGTGTTACCAAGCTGTGACTAACACTCCCAGCATACTCCACACTCGGTGCTGCACACAGCAATCCACATTACAGCCACCTTGCACGGTCAGCACATACAGTCATTGTCCCTTATGTACAGGGCCTGAGCTGGGTACAGGGTGGTATAGAGGAGAATGTCCTAGAGCAGTATCGTCATCATAAAAATACAGCCACACCTGGGGCTGGTAAGGAAGGGAAGGACAGGCTGGTATAAGCAATTCCTCATGTGTCAGGTTATAGCTCAAAGAGTCCTGAGAGTGGGAAAGTAATTTCCTAAAGGCAGAGCCCAACTGCAGGAGGGGCAAGTGGACAGTCATGATCATAATCCTAGCACTCAGGAAGCTGAGGCTGGAGGATTACAAGTTTGGGGCTAGCCTGGGCTTCAGAGCAAGACCCTGTCTTAGAAAAACAAACAAACAAACATACAAACAAAACCTTTGGGTATGGCGGTGCACACCTGTGATTCCAGTATTTGAACAATGTGGCAGTAGGAAGATTAAGAGCTCAAGGTTAGTCTTGGCTACATAGAGGGCTCAAGGTCAGTCTGAGCTACATGAGACCCTCTCCCAACAAAACAAAATAAAAAAAACCCCGAGCACCCTCTCCCTGGGTAACAGAAAGACACCAAAAGAAAAGAGCAAGACACTTGACAGGAGAGCACGATGGTGGTTGTCACCTTAGCGCTGTGCTGAGGCTGTGTGATCTCGGGTGAGCTATGCTGTTTCTTTATGTTTTCATTCCCGTCTCTCCCACAGTGGGCTCTTTAGGCTGTGACTAAAGCAATTCTTAGGCTTGCATTCAGGATGACTGCTTGGAGTAGAGGTGTGCTCATTAAGAATGGAGATTAAAAGCCCCAATTCCAGAGACTCGGATTTAGCAGACCTGGGCTGCCAGGTAGCTTACTGGTACCATGAGTGCCTGGTTGGATCCCAGCACCACAAAGATAGATAGATAGATAGATAGATAGATAGATAGATAGATAGATAGATAGATAGATAGATAGATAGATAGATAGATAGAAAGAAAGAATCCAGCAGATCAGAGGTGGGATTCAGGAATCTAGATTCCTCATGAAAATGTGAAGTCTTTTGGTCTCTGCGTCTTTTTTTGGGGGGTGGAGGACAGGAGGACTTGAAATAAGGACTCAAGCATCCCTGGTTAGTGTCAAGCTCATTATATAGCCAAGGATAACCTTGAACTCTTTCTTGTTTGTTTTTTGAACCCTATCTGTCCTGGAACTCACTCTATAGACCAGGCTGGGCTCTAACTCACAGGGATCTGCCTATCCCTGCCTCCCAAGTGCTGGGATTAAAGGTGTGCATGTGCTTACCAGGCCCAGCTTGGCACTTGGTGTTTCTGAAGAACTCACCAAACTTTCATCTGTTAAAACTTTTCCATGATAGATCAGAAGATTTGGGGCAGGGCAGAGTACCTCATTGTCCTCCAAGACCAGTATCTGTCCCAAAATAACTATTTGCTCTGGGTCTGGAGCAGCAAAACTTTTTGCTCGGAGCCAGCAGAATTGCGAGTCTCGGGAAGTGTGTCTTCATCGGGGTGCAGATCACAGCTGTGTGGGAGGCGGGCTCGAGCCCACAGCTGACTCGTCTAATTTCTCTGCTCTTACACAGAACAATTCGAGGCTGTTCTTTGCTGCTATTTTGATTTGTGACGGATCCTTCCATCCCAAGAGGGGGCTGGGCTGCTTGTGAGTGGGAGCTGAGTCTGCTGGGTCTGGTCCATGTTGGGCTGAAGGGCCTCCCTCTCTCTCGTCCTGCATAGCCACACTGCACTGATGGCCTCCTCAGGCTCCTGCTCCAGCCGCAAAACAAATTGTACCCTATTTCTGCTCTCAACCCCCGGGATCTCCCCCAAAGCAACCTCTATGTTCCATAAGTTGACTCCAACCTTAACTCTGGAGTCCAGACTCTCCAAACGGACTTTTTGACTAATGTCCTCCACCATGCTGGCCTTTCTGCTATTCCTCAAACATGTCAAGCCCAGCCCGCCTCAGGGCTTCTGGACTTACTGCCAGATTTTGCATTGCTTGCCATGTCTCTACTCAGACATTGCCTCTTTGAAAGGTCCACTCCGATCACCTTCTCTCAGGCTGCTTGTCTTTCTAGCACTCACCACTGCCTCGTGTTCTCACTGACAGAATTATCTGTACTCCTAGGACTCTGGCCTCTCTACACTCTCCCAGTTAGAGGACTTGGACCATTTTGTTCCCTGGAAGCAGTAGGCTCCCTCAGACATGTATCATGTCTTATTCCAGGACTCAGGAGCTCTCTCATGGACTCAGTTCCCAGTCTTTCTTCTTCAAGTTCATCATCCACAGGGCTGTCTCCTCTGAAGGCAATTACCACTACGTGGATGTCCACAGTTCCCCACCACTATCCCTGCAGACTAGCACGCCTTTCTACATCTGGTCACATCTGTGTTCCTCAGCCTGGCTGTCTAGCAAGCTGTTTCTCCTGAGACACTCCTCTATATTCGTCTGGTGGACACATTTCCAAACTACAAGTATCAAGAGTATAAAATTGGCCAGGTGGTAGACAGGCATTGGTGGCGCATGCCTTTAATCCCAGCACTAGGGAGGCAGAGGCAGGCAGATCTCTGTGAGTTCGAGACCAGCCTGATCTACAAGAGCTAGTTCCAGGACAACCTCCAAAGCCACAGAGAAACCCTGTCTTGAAAAACAAACAAAAAATTGTCCAGGCGGTGGTGGTGGTGCACACTTTTAATCCCAGCACTCGGTGGAAGCAGAGGCAGGTGGATTTCTGTGAGTTCAAGGCCAGCCTGGTCTTCAGATCGAGTTACAGGACAAGCTCCAAAGCTACAGAGAAACCCTGTCTCTAAACATTTTTTAAAAAGGGAGGGGGTGTATTCTGCCAGTGTAACAGACAGTGCCACAGAGTGGAAACACCACCCTCCATTCACCCCCTCCTCAGTCCTGATCTCACAAGCAACCATGTTGGTCGAATGCTTTATCTGTTCTCCTGAGTTCCATCCCCAGGACCCACACATAGAAGGTGAGCATTGACTCCCACAAGTTGCCCTCTGACTTTCTCAGACACACCATGGCATACATGTCCCCCACCCATACACAAATAAATATATGTAGTAAAAATTTTTTTAAAATATCCTGGGGCTAGAGAGATGGCTCAGCAGTGCAGCAAACTGACTTTTTTTTTTTTTTTTGGTTTTTCAAGACAGGGTTTCTCTGTATTGTTTTGGAGGCTGTCCTGGAACTCGCTCTGTAAATCAGGCTGGCCTTGCCTGCCTCTGCCTCCCGAGTGCTGGGATTAAAGGCGCATGCCACCGACACCCGGTCAAACTGACTGTTCTTTAAGAGGCTCAGTTTCCCAGCACTTACGTGGTGGCTCACAACTATCTGTAACTCCATTTCCAGAGGGATCTGCAGCCCTCTTCTGGCCTCCACATGGTACAAAGAATGTATACAGGCAAAACAAAAAGAATGTATCAGGCAAAACACCCAAACACATAAAATAAAAATGTAAAACAATATGCTTAGATGTCTTTCTCTTCATTTGTCAGTTCTAGACAATACTTCTTGGAGTTTGCATTTGGTTAAGCAAAACAATGACAATCCCAGAATTTCAGTGGCCATACTCAATAAAGGTCTGTGCCTCACAGAGTCTGTCCAGCTTTACAAAAACTTCACATTCTATGAAGCAAGCAGTTCCAAACCCTGTCATTTTAACCACGTCTTCCTTGATCAGCACAGGAAGAAAAGACAGCTTCCAGGTCATAAATCATACGCAGGTGGCAGCACCCACTTCCTCCGGAAGCCAGGAGTCACAGTCCTAACACCTGCAGGGGGCTCAGAGAACCAAGTAAGCATTTTAGGAAAACACTCAGGGTTTGCTTTTTTATTATATATGTATGAGTACATATATAATTGCCATATATTTTAATGTTTATATGAATAGTCTCACTGTGCTGCCCAGTGTGTAGGCTCAGATGA